GCCAACAATGAAGTGTGCATCCCGTAATAAAGCCAATTGATAGCGGTATTCTGAATAACTTTACTAAATAGGAAGTAGTTTGACTTTTCCATTTTGATGAGAAAGCGAAGGGTCTGAAATGTTACTCAACTACTTATCTATACCTAAGACTTATCTAGAACTTAAGAAGCTAAAGAGTTGATTACTTCTAAAGACTGCCACCAGAAATTTAACTTCTGGTCTTTACCACGGGAAGTACACACTAGAATGAATCTAGTATCCGACCCCTGAATTAAAATGAGCAACTAGTTTGAATGCCAAAAGTCGAAACTTAATTAAATTCTTATTCTTAAGCATCAAAACTCAAGTCAGCAATACCATCCCTCCCTAATCTCTTACGTAATATCCACACAACCCTATTTTAACATAACATAAGGAACATTTCCATTTCATTAATACACATTTTATGTAGAAACAATAGAAATGAGAAAAGGCGAAAAATGTACTTCAATTAAATTAAGTTTCTCCTTATTCCTGTTCCTCATTTCATTCTCCTTCTTCTTCCTATTATTATTTTAATTTAGATTTTTGAAGACGAATTAAAACACAAAAGCCAACAACAATTGAGGAAACACAAAGAAAAATCGATTATATACGAACTTGACAAATATTTGAGCTATGCCACAGAATTATCGCTTACAACTTGTAAAATTTCATTTGTATCCTCTTCATGCGCTTGCGTTAATGATATTTTTTTCTCCTTTTTTGCATTCTCTTTCTTATGACTTTTTTATTTTTGTTGTTTTTGTAATTCAACGGTTAGAAAGGATATTTTTATTTATACCGTATACTACTCGGGTATGCTTTAAAGAGCACATTTCTGTTCTATATTGAATATATTTGCGGAAAAATATAAAAAATAAAATGTTTTAAGGTTAGTGCTGAAACACATGAAAAGCAGTCATTGTTTCTTTATGCTGATGTGTAAGGTTAAATAATTGCAGTAATTCTGGTATATAGCTATAAAGAGCGTGCATCTGCAAAATAACTGCTGTTGTATTTTAATAAATACTTAAGTAAATATGAATGGGTTGAAGGAGTTAGAGGATTATTGCATTAATGGATGATTGAAGTGCGCATTTTTATGTTGATGACTTTCAATTTGAAATGCACACTTGCGACTCTTATGCAATGTGATGTTGTACTTGATGGAAGCATGCAACGTTTCTTTGATTTGTAATTTACATTTGCAGGGATATACAAAGGATATGCTTTGGGGCCATTCACTTATGACATCCAACATTAAGGGGGTAGGGGGGGGGGGGGTCTAGGATTTTGTGACAGCTCAAATAAAGGAAATTTTTTTCTACAGAAATTTTGTGACAGAGGTGGGGGGGTCTAGAAAACTTGTTTTTTATGGACGTCATAAGTTATCGGCCCCTTTTGAAAATCGGAGGGTGATCCGATACAAAAAGGTGTTGATAATAATCTGGGGTATACCTAAGCTCCTAAGGACATTCCTTTTGAATTTAACATAAACGTTGCTATTCTACTAAGTTAGACCTGATCTGACCTCCTTGAGAATAGAATATTGCTACTTGTTAATTTCAGATCTTCTAAGTTCCCAGGTTTATTATGGTATACCAAGCAACTGCTCCCTTTTAGCTTAACTTTGTCTAGACTAAGTACCGAGATTAAATTAAGTCTAACCACACTATCCATTTGACAAAGCTACACTAAAACCCATTTTAGTTATGACTGACATCTTCAGTTACCTAAATCTATTTAATCTATAGTAATGCAAACTTCTTTGGATCTATGAACGAATTCTAGAGTCTGTTCAATCAACTGAGTGACAGGATTTATAATTAATCTTGCAGTGCACTTTGCAATGCTTCTCAGAAATAAAATCTACACAGTTAATCAAGTGAATTAAGTAAGTCGAGCTCCTTTTTCAAATTAGCCAGATAAATTATGCAATCTTCTTCCAGTCTTGCATAAATTTCAATTATTATTCATTTACTTTGCTAAGTTAATCAGTTTGTTTATTTGTAAATATGAAAGGCCGACTTTAAAGATCTAAAATATAACTTCTAGTCAATCGATTTTTGTTTCTTTAATGGCTAGGTTTATTCAGGTTTTTTTAAAAACGTTTTAGGTAACAATTCAATGTATTTTAAGCTATTAGCGTCTCACTAGTACCAAACTAAGATATTTCTAGTACAGTGTTTCTCAAACTTTTTTGGTCCATGGCACCGTTTTTTTCATAAAATTTTTCGCGGCACACCTGAATAGACTCGCGGCAAACTAAATGATTCTCTAACCTTTTTAAAGTCATAAAGCATAAAAATATATTGCCAATATAGTGCCGCGGCACATGGTTGAGAACCACTGCTCTAGTATCACACAAGGATAACTCTTGTATTACACTACTGCCTCATTTGTGGGGTACTCTGCCGTAACGGAACTGAAACAGTTGATAAACAGTTTATTAAGCCAGCCCATACTCAATAAGCCACTCAATCAGCACAAGTTATTGCCAAACTGAACACATAGCTCCCTCAATCCCATCAAAAACTACGCTACAACCTGAGTTGTACATGCAAGAGCAAAAAAATTAATAAATTAATAACACGAAACATTCCTCAATTGTTTGAAGGAGGTAAATAATAATAGTGGATGTTAAACGGAGGGCAATAATAAATTGCAGTTTATGCTCTCAATAAAGCCAAGTACTTTATTTAAAAGCTTTTTGTTATTGTGCATGAAATATATGCCACCTTTTCATCTTCCAACATGTTACGAGAAATACAAAAAAGGCGAATTTCTTTTGTACATCATATACGCAACATCTATAAAGAGATCAACAGTGACAATAAATGAATGGAAGTGGTGGCAATCAGAATCTTGTATCAGGATACTAAAGCAGAACAAGAGAGATTTCTTTTGAAGCCTATATGATATGGTATTGTACGATGAAAAGTGATAAGAAATGAGATTTTCCTGCATACATATATAAGTTGCATGTATAAGCAGAATGGTAACATCAGCAACATCAGGCATCAGCCGTATAGGGAAATAAATTATCCAGCATCGAAGTATTATGCGATTTTCCTTTCTTAGATGAATATTCTTTTTCTTTCCTATTTTGGTAAAGGAATAAAGGAATTATTTTAATATTATGCTAAGCACGTTTTTCTCTTTTTTTAACTTTTTTCCTCTCTCTTTTTCTTTCTGCATTCACTCCCCCTTATAAATCCTCTTATTGCTTCACGATTTCATTTCTTAACATAAGAAGAGATGAAAAAATGAAATTTATAAAGAAATCAAGAATTTTTTTTTGATCATCATCATTCTTGCATGTATGTACATGAACGTATATTTGTCATGAATTCTCATTGATAAAAGGATGTTCAGGGCTGGTCAACTTTGATAAGTTTTTGGGATGCAAAATTTCACGGATTATAGAAAAAAATTAATTTCGAGGTTCGAATCTTAAAACATTAGAAATTTAAGGTTAAAATATCATAATTACAGAATTTTGAGGTTAGAATCTCAAAACTACAAAAATTTGAGGTTAGTATCTTAGAACTACAGAATTTTGAGATTAGATTATCAAAAATATAGAATTTCGAGATTAAAATCTCAAAAATAAAGAATTTTGAGGTTAGAATATCAGAACTACATAATTTTGAGGTTAGATTATCAGAACTACATAATTTCGAGGTTAGAATCTTAAAACTACAGAATTTGAGGTTAGAATATCAAAACTACAGAACTTTGAGGTTAGAATATCAGATTTTTTAAACTTTGGGGTTAGAATCTTAAAACTACAGAATTTTAGGTTAGAATATCAAAACTACAGAATATTGAGGTTAGAATCTCAAAACTACAGAATTTGGAAGTTATACTCTCAGAGCTATTAATAACTTTGAGGTTAGGTTCTCAAAGATATAGAATTTTCAGGTTAAAAAACACCTCTCAAAATCAATCCATTTTCAACACATCCAAGTTGACCCACCCTGCGTCATAAGAAAAGAACATTCATAGGTGTTCAACATCAACAACGTCCCATCCATGTTATTAGGGAACAAAAGTAGAAAACGAACATGAAAAACGAGAGAAATAGAAAGAGAATGGAGAAAGGAATAAAAAAGAAAGCAAGACAGATGAAACAGTTTTTTGTCGTTGCAAACACATTTTTTTTCGAATCGGCATGTCACACATGTCAACGTGTGCCGCACAATGAGAAAAACACTTTTTAACCTTTATCTCTGCCACTGTTTACTCTTTTTCTCAACATTTTTTTGTTGTTGTGTGTTTGAATTTAAAACCCTCAAGCTTTTTTTTTTTTGCTTCTATTCATAGTCACTCGACTGTACTATATATACACTCATAGAGTAAAGAGCATAGTGAGTAGCGAGAATGGGAAACAGAGGAACAAAAAAAAATTTGCATATACAATTAAACTGAAAATTGCTGTTTGTTTAAAATTATCTACTGTAAAATGAATCTTTTGCTATTGTCATTTTTTTTAGTCCTCTTGTACTGTTGTATGACGGTGGCATGACTGAGCTTATGCACACGAGTAGGAGATTCTTCAATACTGATACTTTGACATTCTGCGGTGTTTATGATTTCACATATGAATGTCTGGGGTTTGTTGGGATGTTACATAACGATGGAGGTTGGTTTCTATGGATATTCAAATTGACTTAACAGTGAAACGGAACTCACTAGGGCTAAAGGGTAGCTTTTTACTGGTATCGCTAGAAACTAGCATCTAGTAGCCATGCTCCTCATATCTTCTAGCCAATAATGTATGGAAAATTAAGCTAAATTTGAATTTAAGCTAAGAGTCCCCCACTAGAGTTACATAACATCCGCACGACCCCACCATGAAACATCCATTATTTTTTTCGAGAATGAGATGAGAATGATACGATAATAAAGATGATAAATTGTCTGTCTAATGACATAAAGGAAGTACCTGTACTTCATATCAAGTCTAATAAACTCACCTTGATGCTGTCATAGCAAGCTGTCACACGACCGTTTTGGACTTCAACATTAGCTGCTGGATGAGCGAATTTGCACTCGGTATCCGGACGTGAGCATTTATTTCGTTGAAACTCGCGACAAACTTCGAGTTGTAACCATCGTGAGTCCTTTCCGTTTATTAAATTGCTCATGTTTACCATTGCCATTAGATTAGGATTTATATAAAAAGTTGTCAATATCACTCAATGAATTGATTTATTAAGAATCCTTCACTTTTTTGTTTTGTGTCTGAGAGAAATAGTCTGTCTGCTTTAGGTATGATTGACCTTATACTAATTAATAAGTATTTTATTGTTAATGTTAGTAATTATTATTGTAAATATATAAAAAAAAATTATTCTCTTGTCCAACGCACTCAATTATAATCACACTTGACAACTCTAGTAATTAATTTTATGGAATGAAATTTATTATATTACGAATTAGTATCACTCACGAACTATCAAACTTTTTTATATTTAATTTAAAATTTGTCTACTTAGTAAAAATGATTATGCTATAAAGAGACTGTTCCTTGTTAGCTTTTGTCTTAAAATTCTCAGTACAAATCTACTCTATTTCAAAATGTCTGATGTGATGTGTATTTATAAAATAAAATTAAACTTTTGTCTCTTGTCTTTCTTTATCACAAAAAAAAACTTTTTCGATGTGCTTTTGATTCACATTTGATATTTATGGCTGGGTGACTAATCCTTAGTTTCCTTTCGATTTTATTTATTATCACCAACAAAAGTCTTCTTTTACTTGCCTTGAAGCTGTGCTGTAATTTTTTTTGTCGTGTTCGTCTCACAATTAGGAAGGATTTGTTATACAAATTTAATTGCCGTTGCTTCCTATTCAATTGAATTTTCAATTCTAATTCCTACTATTTGTGCCGGCGTAATTTAAATTTCAATTGCGTGTCGTTAGATCCTTTTTTTTTGCTCAGACTTCTCTTCTCTGATGCTACGGTACGAAAAAAAATCCCTTAATATGATTTATCACTCAACATAAACAGAATTTCAACCTCAATTCTTTTTATTTTTCCTTCTTCTTTGTTTATTCGATATTCCTTAAACGTCTTTTTGATTCCTTAGAAATTCCTTACTTCACATAAATTTTTATACACACGCCGTCTTGTTCTGTTTGGGGTTATATACTTTTATTCTTTATATATTTAATGTTGTTGGCAAGAATAAAAAAAAGGAGGACGAAATATTTTGACGGAAATATGTGTTGTGTGTATGGAATGAATGGGGTTAGAGCAAGTCAGACTGAAGTTAAATTCCACAAATGCACAGAAATGTTGGAAGTGTGAGGGAATAATTTTTTTCTTCTAAAAACAATTAAGATCGATTTTCGCTTCTTCCGTTTAGTTCATGTACCTTTGTAGGGCACCAATTTGTGTGTATATAAAATTTTTTTTAAATGATGGCACTGATGGCTTCTATCTTTTCTTTCCTATATAAAGATTTATTATTATTTCACACACTTGAGTGTATTTATTAATCTTGCTTGTGCTACCACAGGAAGAAATTGTTGAACTTTTTTTTTCTCTTCCTTATTTAATATTTGTGCTCAGGAACTTGAAAGATTCTCTTGTTGACTACACATGCAATATATGTGTTTATATCCTCCACTAGATTGTGCTCATCTTAACGAGAATATCAGAAATTAATGAAAAAGAGAAAAAAAGAAGATAAATTGTGTGATAAAAATATTAATTAAGTCATGTCATAAATAGGAAGAATAAAGTAAATTAGATGTCCTTGATAAATATAGAGAGTCCTTTTGTCTAGCATTTCCTTTCCTCATGCGATCAATTTGTTTATGAAAAACAAAACTATTTAAAAGTTTCTTATTCTGTGTGTGTGTGTGGGGATGTCTATCTTTTGGGATTATTTTTCTGTCGATGGGAGAAAAGTTGCCTATGGATGTTATTTGGATGGGTTTGGTGATGTAGAGTTGGACTATTTTTGGGTCCAGCAATGAAATTCTTTTGACACATTTCATTAAAATGTACAGGAAGGTTTAGATTTGTTTTTAATACTAAGTTGGATTGAGCTAGTATCTTAAACCATAAAATTCTAGATTGGCATTAAAGTAGGTTCCAATGACCCATCCCATAAAGATTGAATAATATGAACCCCTAAAGCTAATTAAATGTTGTTTTCAAACCGGTTTTTTGCCAATTGCTTACGAAATTTACGTTAACATTAGCTTAAAACAGCATCGCACCTTAAATCAATTTAGATAGATTATTAACGCTTCCGTAAATCTAAATCTAAAAAAATCTAAACTATGAATTTCATAATATTGCTGAATCCTCCAGCTTTTAAGCTTAATAATCTTTAATGTCAAAATATACATCCTTTCTGAGAATTTCTGTAATAATCTTAAAATTCTTAAATCAAGCAGCAAGGGTTGATAGACAATAACAATAACTTTCCTTATTAAAACCCAAAAAAAATTTAAATTTGACAATCTCAAAAATCACCGACAAATCCATGGACACCCCCAACAGAACATCTCATATGAAATGTCTTAATTCAAAACATCTTAATTTTTCTTCATTTCCTTACACAACTTTTCTTTCATCCATAATGTAGTTTTATGAATGATAATACTCATAAAAATAAATTAGGGTATTAGAGATACACGAGATATCTTTAAAACTACACACTTTGTTTCCCTTCATATAATCTTTCTACATTATTAATTTTAATTTCTTATTTTTTCGAATAAAAAGTCTTGAAAATATTTTTTCTCCTCGTTTTGTTGGAGCGTAAATCATATTTATATGAAAATTACACGTGCTCGGAGTAACAACGTGTAATTTAAAATTTCATATATGAATGTCGGAATGAAAATTGGAAAGCTACTTAATTGATCATATTTTTTCAGTGCTTCGAAGATTGTGAATGGAGGGATTGTTCATTAGTGACGTCTGAGGGGAGAGGATGTATTTAAGATGGGTTCTAATTGGGGTTTATGTCATATTTAATATTTTAAAATATGTAAAACTTATTAAATTGGAACTTAAAATTTTAAAAAGTATTTAAGACCCCCAGTCCCTATCGGTTCAAAATTAGCATGGCAATTATTTTTTTGAGATCAAAACGAAAGAGTATAAGTCATATGCTATCCCATCAAAAATACTGAGCTTTGATACCTACGGAAGGTTTGCTCGGAAATTCAGATCTTTTTGAGATATGTTAAGAATTAGCAAATCTGATAATAGCGTCTGGAATCATTAGATTCTATGAACCATCTTAGCTGTCCCCACACTTCACAAATTCTATCTATTCCCATGATTGACATCATTTAAGAACAAACCCCCCAATAACCCAATTCCTTCTACATTTCCTTTTTTCATACATCAAAAAAAATGGGTAAAATGTAGCAAACCTTCATAATATGAAATGAAAATTATATACACGTGTCAAAAATTTTCACCATTCTCAGCTAACGAACCTTCCTCAACGTAGAGTCGAGCAGTAAAGAAATGGATAAAAGGAACGTAGCGTAACTAATAAAAAATACTTGAAACTATTTTTCATTATCATTCTTCCTCGTAAGACGATAATTTCTAGACCTCATCAGCACTTTTTTTTCGGATTGCTGTGCAATAATCATAACTTCTAGATGTCCACAGTCGGCAAAAAAAAAATATCATGATAATAAACTGAATATAGATACTTACTAGATTGTATTATATCTGCAAGCTATCTTCTTGATATCGCGAGGCAACAAAAAAAAATATTTATTTTTGTAATTATTTGTAAGCGAAGCTTTATTTTGCGTAAGTTTTTAGTGTTAAGGATATTGCGTAGATACACACGCACTTTAAATATGTATAAATTTTAAAAGATGTTTAGGGATGGGAATGAAAAAGTACAGATGGTAATTTAAGAAAGGGCGAGAAAAATGCGAAAAAGCTATTTATCTGTTATTTTTATTACAACCACTACGGTTCACTTTGGGTTTCGAAAATTCATCGATTTCACTTTTCCTTTATATTTTATTTTTTCAAGTTTATTTCCACTCCACTCTCGGTTCCTTTTATTATTGTTTCTTATTTTTTTTAGCACTGTACGAAAATGTATCGACACTTTTCTTTTTTCTCTTGCACGTATAAACAGAAAAAATATTCTCACATTAGAAAGCAGCAACTACGCACTGTGCTGGGTTTCGTATCAATGTTAAAGACGGCAGCAAACTGAAATCTCTATGCAAATTGATTTTTTTATTATAGATCTTGAGCGCTACTAGAAGTAGTATAGAAGAGACTAGGGATAGGAATAAATAAAAAAAAGTTGTGTAGCTTGCTTGATACGATTTCTTTTCCGAAATTTCCTATTCTTTCCTTAGTTTTTGTTGTCTTTTTTTCTTTTGGTTACAAAAACAACTTCTTTTATTACTTTTGATTTCTTTCTTTTTTTTTGTATTTTATACACGAGAGCTCATGTTTTCGGGTGTCTGATTCGTTGTAAGGCTGAAGCAGGACTAAAGTGAATAAGTGAGCCGCATGACATGTCCTCGGTTCGATGCGAATTTCTTCCTTTCTTCACTTTTTTTCACGTACACTACTTGCTTGACTCTTTATTCTCTATTTTCTCAATAAAAGCCATGTGAAAGTGTTTCCTTTGTCTCCCCCGAAATAATGCAGGATGGAATGCTCACTTTTTCGTCGAGTCTCCCATGAATTTGGGGAGAAAATTCTCATTTTTTGATCCCCAAACGGAAAAAATTTCTCTCAATTCTCAATTTTTGCTTCTCGTTGTTGTAAAAATTTTCAGCACTAACACATGGATACGCAGCAAATGTATATTTATGATCTCAGAATGAAAGTTTATGTCTTCGGAATGAAAATTGAAGAGAAAATTTCGCAATGTGAATACTAAAATTTTTCTGTGAGAAGTTATAGCTTTTTGAAAATAAAACAATTTTGCTTGCTGTTGCTGAGCGGCTCTCAGTTGCTCATTTTTATGGATACTAATAAAGGACTTGTGAAGTACATGAAGAAGACGAAAATGGAAATGAGGAAGAAAATTTGAGGAGATTGAATGGAGAAGAAAATTAGTTTGGTGTAATAAGTTTGAATTTACGCGATAAGACTTGGCAATGGATGGAAACATGAATTTTAATTTTTTATCGTTTTTCAGACGAGCTTTTGGAGTTCTTTTGACTTTTAGGTACAATTCTCTAAGTTTTGTAAGTCAGAATACTTTTAAAAATAATTCTGCATTCAAGGGGAGTCAAATGTTATTTTTAACTAGACATCATACCCGTACGACCCCCGAATATAATCACTCTCCAGTTAAAAAATCACAGCC